TCTTGGATAACAGAATAACTTATGCCAAACATCGTTATTGAGTTAATTTAGTCGTCTTATCATTGTTTCCAGTTTGGGGGAGACATTTTGTCCACCTCCAATCTTAGCCATGGAAACTACTTGATGTTGACTGAATCAATTTTCCTTTGACCTTGTACCAAGAGGTCTAAATTTATTTCCAGAGGTTACTTTTCGCTTGTGGCTACTTACCATGCAATTAAATGGCATAATATTAGTCTAATTACACATTAATGGATGAATTAAGGCATCGGATTTGTCATATATTCTCTATTCTGAAGAACAGGCTTGTACTAGGATTACACATTCTGTGGCTCGTGACTGACCTAACCTTAGCGATCATGTATCAGTGCCTGTTAATCAGAGCATGAAAAAACCAAGTCAGGGGAAGTGTATAAGCTCTACTTGCTGTCAATGGCTTATAAAGCAGTTAGGATAAATTCTCTTGACTGGTTATTATTGGTGACTTGAAATAAAAATGGACAGGGAATACGAATTTACAATGTAGATACTAAGAGATTTTATGAATCTCCTGAAATAACTTTGTTGGGGAGACTTTCATTTCGTATGAAAGTGTGAAGAAGAGCTTCGAAGGTTGATCTCACCAGCAGAGGACGGCTGCACTACAACATGATTCAGCCATCTCTTCTGGTGAGATCGGTCTTCGAATTCCTTCTTCATGCACTTTTATACGAAATGCAAGCTTCCCCAACAACGAACTTTTAGTGATTATGATGAGTTTTTTATTGCTTGCTGCTTTAATCAGCCTTCCTAAAATTAATGAATTTTTCTTTATTGCTCTAACGAGCACTATACGATTATTAACCACGGGTGTTTGTCAGAATTTTATCACAATTTATATCTATCTTGGTTTTCCTAATCCAAAATATTCACTTGGCATCTCTTTGAGTGTTGCTTATTGAGCCACTACTTGCATTCAAACAAACATCTTGGTCTTCACATCTTCAAACTAGATAAAATTGGTCGTCTCAGGCAGAATCATTTAAGAGGACATTGCTTAGCACCCTGCCAGAATTCGTAAAAGGACATTTGTAGTACTCTCCTCTAAGCTATCATTTAAACCTGCTTGTTTTCTATATACCTGCCTTAGTCGCGTGTGTCAGCCTGCGTCACCAGGTCACCTTCTTTTCTATTTTATTTTGAATAGTTTCTTGGCCTTGCACACGTTTCTCTATATGCGTATTCACTAAATTGTGAAATACACTAGTAAATAATGACTATGATTTTTTGTCCCTTTGTTTTCTTCTCATACATCCCTTGACACATCCACTACTACACACGTAAACTCATGAAATCGCAGGCGATTAGAGATATTACTCTTGCCTACATAACTTGCATCTGAATAAATTCACATTTTTAACCTCAAGCACCAAACACGAAAGCATTTAAATACTCAATTAAAAACACGCACATACGCACACGCATGTGCATGTACACACATATTTTAATCTTTGTATTAACAGGGATGCATGTCGTGGTATGGCCTACTTGGAGCAGCGTGGCTTAATACATCGCGACCTAGCAGCCCGTAATATTTTACTTACACACCGAACTTCCTCCGGCTTCCCTACGGCAAAGGTGGCTGACTTTGGTATGGCCCGTGACCTTCAGCTCTCAGGCCCGGTCAGCTGCCCTCCATTACAAACGACTTCAATGAGCCCTGCTTGTCTTCCCAACCAAACGGCTCCTAGTTCTTCTTTGAATACCTCATTTGGAGTTGGCAGTAAAATGGATACTGACAGAAGACAGGATGGCACAACGGAGAACCTTGCTGGAGGGAGTGTCAGTGGAAGGCCAGTCCAGCACCAGCTGAATCCCTTTATCTTTGAGCCTTCCTCGATCATCAAGTCTTCCAAGACGTCAGTGTCAGCATCGACGACACTCTCCTCAGCCCCGAGCCAGCCTTGCCGTCGGGCTGCGTCCACGGCGTCGGGTCTCCAGCGGCCGTTAAAGCCACCGGCCCCACAGCCTCCAATCACCGCCACTTGCAGATCGGTAGGTCATTCGACCGACGGACAAACCTTCGAGGCACGAACCGCTGGGACTGGAACAGCTCATGAGCCAGTCGTCGATACAAATTGTTCGGTCACCAGAATTGGTAGTCTAAGCTTGTCGGTTTCTGCTGCAACAGACGCTGGTCGCATTCCCGTAAAGTGGACCGCCCCAGAGGCCGTCAGATACCATGTAGGCCAGCGAATATATTTCTCTAGCATTGCAGTTTAATAATATTCACCTAGAATTCATATGACAATTACGTTTTTGAAGGACTTGCCAGCTTAGTTTAGGAGACTTCACCGGAATTGCATCCTTTTTTCCTTTCATCTCGGCTTATAGCTAGGTATAACTCCGATCTTCATCCACTAATGCTGACTATCTCTTATTCCGTGTTTTTAAGCTCTCTTACATTTCGCGTGAAAGTGTATCGCGAGGAGATTCGAAGGTCAGTCATGCCGAAAGACCACTTCGGGTTCATCTTGGCCAGCTGTCGGACGGCTTTAGCGGAACCTTCCTGTTGACGCTTTCTCAGAGGCATTCTTCTTCGATTTCGGTGAAAACGTGCTAAGGTCTCGTTTGTCGTGTGAGGGACATGACCATATTTAGACTAACGAGTCAAGAAAACCTACCTGATTATACCCACACGCTGAATATATACCCTAAATCCACTCATTTTGATGAAGCCCAAAGTATTTGGTCATGTATAATGTCAATTCTAAAGCATGCGCACGTGACCGTGTGCGTGTTTATTTTCCTTCGTGTGTATGTATATACACGAATTTAGCAATGATAGCTTAAAGTCAGTCACTTAAATTTAATGGCCACTGTCTCATCATTTTTATATTTTAACCATCACTTCGATTGCCTATTGCCAGATACATCTGGTTAAGTTAATGAGCTTTTTCTTCTGTGTGAAAGAGGAAGAGGGAACCAAATAGCACGAAAAGTGTGATGGTGATTAAAACCATTACCAACAGAAAACGAGCTGAGTCGCCTTCGTTTTTCAGGCGGTTCAACGCCCTATCCTTGCCTAAGCCTATCATTCGAGCATAAACAACTAATCAACTCACTTTATATCTCATCAGAATGTCTACAACATTTAAGCCTAAACCGGTGAGTTTTCTTGATTCGTTAGCTTGCATATGATTGTAAGCTCGTCACTTTGTCTCTGACGGATTCTGGTGCTGAGAATGGCAAGACTTATTGATGATTCTGGCTAAACGTCTGAGAATGTACCAAGTCCACGGTCCGACGCTGGGAATTATGACTAGTATAACAGATGACTTCGGCAAAGTACACCCAACTAAGTGGCCCTGACAACATGAAGTTGCACATCTATACATCAAAAGGAGACTGCGACTAAACTTGATCTTTGCATCTATATTTAGCAGACAGTCAGTCAAAGAATCGACTTCATTTGTCTCTTGGGAATCGTTCGTAGCATTAATAAAATGACTTATTCATTCACTTCTTTATTTCTTGTTTTCATCCAGAACTTCAGCAGCAAATCAGACGTCTGGAGCTTCGGCATTCTGCTCTGGGAGATCTACTCTTATGGTCGGATGCCATATCCGCGATTGGTTAGTAGAATGGATTAAACAGCTCATTTATTATATCAAACATATTTACTCCAAAGCCATTAAGGCATAAGATATCCCCTTTTAAATTTTTGTGCATAACAAATATATAAAAGGCTTTGGTTTCGTACTTTTTTTAGGTTCAGGTTTTATGGTAATGGCAAATCTCTGCTTCACACATTTTCAAATGGAACTAAAATTGTCTTATACTGCACTACAGGACTATTGGTTGAGTTAATGACGATAATCTGAAATCTATGTCTAACGTTCCTCATTACTTTCCTGCTATGTTAGTTCAATGTATGCCCACAAAGGACACTTGAATTTATTGCCTCCGTTCTTTTTTGCATCATACTCTTCAGATGCGACAAATAAGGTGATAGTGACACCTCACTATTTAAAGGAGTTTTACTTTTTCACTTATTCCTCCCTTTACCTTTGTATCATCCAAAAATACGGATTAACTGGGTTTTACCAAACTCAGGATGGTTCCAATTATTACTAGTACAATAATGATAAATATCTAACTTGCAAATTCAACCGGCTGGGTTGTTGCATATTATAGATTTGATCCGTTGCCATGTAAGAGCAGCCACTCCATTTTCATAAATACTGCTGCTTGTGCAATTTTATGAAAAGAACATAAATCTTCATCTTACTTAAACTTTCAATTAACAAGATGGAGCCTAAAATTTTTAATCCTGTGTTTTGCCCTTTTCTGATGATAGCTGATTATTTGCATCCTCGGAGTCGTTCTAATGCACTAATTGTGCACATTTGCTTCGTTGGCGGGCCACGTGAGGCTTCTGCCATACATCGGACAGGGGTTACCGAAAATAGAACAAGATCGCGGGGACTAATGATTCGGTGAAAGCAAAGTCTAACCATTCCACAAACCACACCAGATATTCGCCGTCTTTTGTTTTGTGGCTGTCTGAAGGAGCCGTCTGCAAATGGCACGAATAGCAATTTGTTCTAGATTTCCACCTCAATAATTCTTTATTCTATGTGAGTAGGGTTTCGAGACTACCAGTAAATCAGTGTAATGAGATGTATTCACCCTATTTCGTCTAAG